TTATATGGGATATTAGATCGATGAGGACTTCTTACAGGTCGTTCTCTTCTATCATCTATTCTAGATCTGCTACATCTGTCTTCATCGATTCTACTTAATCGTTTTTCTTTACTAGAGCTTGCAAACAACTCATCCTTTCTTTTTGGACTTTTGCTTCTACTTCTGCTCCAACTACGACTATGGCTCTCGCTACGACTTCCTTCACGTTCCCAACAAATGCTTTTTTTACTGCGGCTACCAGAAGGGCTGGATCTCCTTCTGCTTTCATTGTATTCCAGTTTCAAACCCCTATTGTCTCTCCTATCTCCTCTTTCTTTTTCGTCAAATTTCTTATCTCTTTTTTCTTTATTGCGATCGCTAATTCGTTTATCTTCTCTATTCTCCTTCCTACTGGGACTTTTCTTTTTCTGTTCTCCGCCTGGCGATCTTATCCGACATTCTATATCACTAATATCTTTACTATTACGTGGTCTAGACTTTTTCAGTTCTTCCAGTTTGGTTCCTTTATTCCCAGACTTGTACTCATTGAAATCAAGCTTCACCGCGCCTGGTGATTCTGATTTTGTGGTGATCGAGGTTTTCACTGTTATTGACAAATCTTTCGAGTCTACTTTAACATCCGTAATAGTGGTCTGTTCCGTGGGAATAACTTCAGCTGCAATTGGTGCATGTATACTAGTTGTTTTTTCACACTCAATCTTAAATGCAGCAGAAGGCTCCTCGCAAGGTGCATCTTTTATGTCGTTTTTCACAGCATGCGATTCTCGAAGTTTCTTCTGGATGGTCAACAGTGCCGCGGCGTGTTGCATGGGATCGTCTGAAATTAATTTTGTTTTCACGCGTTCATTGTTTCGTCGGACTAACAGCTGTTTAGGGATTAATTTGAGTGCTGCTTTCCCCTCATTTGTCTCCTCTGTTCCTTTTGTACTGGCAGACGAAGATACTGTCTCCGAACTTTTATTAATTAATTTTCCACGTAATTCATCGGATTCATACCCTGTAAATATATCCATTCGTAATGATTTATAATTCATGTCTGGATATGGTTCTTTGATTGAAAGTTCAGGTGAATTCTCAGATGCTTTCATATCGAACTTCGTTCGGAGAGTCTGATCCTCTGTCTTCTTTACTCCTAGAATCTCTTCAAACTCTTCCTTTATTACTGACTTCGCATACTTACCATCGCAATACTTTATTTGAAGAGGTATATTAGGAACTGATTCATCATCAGACTTAACCACAGTTTCATTCTTTGGTTTATCGTGTAAGAAATTTTCCTCAAGATTCAAGGAATTTGTATGATTATTTTTGAAAACTTCCATATCCTCAGACTTTTGAGAGCCTGCTGGAGAACTGGGACTATACAGTTCCGTATTTTTTTTCGCCAGTTTCATATCCATTTCGAAAATGTCTTTTAATTGTTCTTTCGAAGGAGTCAGTTCCTTCGTTTTGTCAAAGTACACATCTTTCTGGGAACTATTCAAACTTCTTATTCGCGATTTGCTTCTAGTATGCTCTTCTGCAGTCCAGGATGATTCTAACAAATCTATATCCTGAGATTTTCTAGGGAACAAATCAATGATATCCGAACTTGTTAAATTTTTGGTTGTAGACTTTCTCAATTGTTGTTCAATCATACAAACATTTTCATCTCTTATTTTCGTATTAGGTAATATCGAATCACAATGTTCCAAAGATACTCTCTCAATATTGTGATCAAATTTATTCCCTTTGGTCCATTCTGTACACTCTTCTTCCCACATAACAGGAGCTTTGAATTCTATCTTTTCCTCAGATTGTGACGCCATGTCCCAACGACTTTTCTTGCCCTTTTTTCTAGTAATAACATCATGTTTCATAGATGTATCTACATTTTTATTAACTATATTTACTTCCTTATGAATGCTATCGATCATAGCAATGTTATCTTCTATGCTTTCTTTCCTGTCACTTTTTTCTCGTAAGAATGATTCCTCTTCAATGTCCCAATCATCCCTTTTTCTCTTGTTCTTTTGTTCCAGAAGCATCATAGCTTCTTTCTCTCCTTCCTCTTGTTCTTCCTCCCAAATTCTCATTGCAGACAATCTATCTTGTCTTTTCTTACACTCCTTTAAAGTTTCCTTTTCTATAGTAATATACATATCTGTTTTCTTATCATATCGAACCTCTTTTTCTAATTTTTTTGAAGTGCGTGAGGTTTTCTTTTTATTAATCATTAAATCAGGCACAGCTTCCAAACTATCAACTTCCCATTCGTCGGCTAATAATTGTCTACTACTTACTTCCCTTTCAAGTTGTGTTAATGATGGAACATTCAGAGTATCAAATTCAGTTTCTCCCCATTTTTCCTTTTTCTGTTTATCTAACTTCTTAGACAGCTTCATTTCGTCTTGCATTATTTGCTGAGATATGCGCTCGCTTTCCTTTTCCCATTCAGCTAAAAATTCACTACTGCTCTTTTTTTCTTTATCTCTTTTCCTTTTTTTCTTTCCGTCAATATCTTCTTCTATCTTCAAACTTCCCGGGATAATCTCCTTGCTAATGCTTGAACATTTGTCTTTAAAATGTTCGTCATGTTTGCTTTTTTCATCCTTTTTAGTTCGCTCATCCTTTCCCTCTATCTTCCGAATGTTTTCTACGTTAGTATTTTCTACTTTTTCAACATTACTTTTTGTTAGTTTTTCTCCTTTCTGTGGTATGATCATAGGGTCCATTTCCCATTCTTCCAAGTATCGTTCTTCAACTTTGTTTCTTTTTACCTCATCTTTGTGAGTTTTGCTGCGAATATCGCTATCAGAAATCACCTTTCTGACCATATCCTGTTCTTTACTCCAGACATCATGTTTATCTGTGGTTCGTTTTCTATTTTCGATTTTCACTTCCTCTTTAATTTTCTTTAATGGAACTTGCGAACGTATTAGCTTTGCATTTTCCAATGAAGATGATTCCAAAGGTGATTTTTGTATCGTTTTTACTATATCTTCTCTGTTATCTTGTTTATTGCTAGATTCTTTCTTTTGTTTAGACTTCTTAGTTACTATCCTTTTTTTCTTCCGATCTTGAGACGAATCACTACTGCTAGAATTAGAACTGATTTTTCTTCTTTTCTTCTTCGTCTTTGCTATTCGTTTCGCTTTTTTCTTTCTTTTTTCAGCTTTCCGTTTTTTCTTTTTTCTTTTCTTTCGCTTATCGTCAGAACTGGAAGAATCGCTGCTACTAGTGCTAGTATCGCTACTATCTGAATCCGACAAAGAGTCTGAATCGTTCGATATTTTCCGTTTTCTCTTTTTCCTTGTTTCTTCTTCGGAGTCAGAGGAACTTGATGAACTAGATGACTCACTGCTACTAGAGGTTGTCTTCTTCCGCCTCTTTTTCTTTCTTGTTTCCTTAGAGTCAGAATTTTCGTCGCTCATACGTTCTACTTTAATTCGAACGTTTTCCCAATCGCTAGGTATTGATTTAGAATCTTCCGATTCAGTTTTATCACGTATAGTTTTACTGTCAGCTGTTACAGATTTTTGAGCCTGAATATGAGAACTGCTTGACGATACTGCTTGATCATCCTCGACTTTCGAAACTTTCTCCAAATTCTGTCGATTTTCATTAGCTTTGAATTTTTCCTCGATTTTATTTGAACTCTCACTCTCATCCAATTTTCCAGATATATTATGCTCCACAAATGAGAAATTATTGTCATTCGGCAAATTAGTTTCTATGTTAAACTCATGATAACTTAATGTCGAGGCAGGTTTGTTTAGTTTTGGAGAGAACTCTTTCGATATTGGAATGTCATTGCAAACCATCTTCATGAATTGTTCATACTCTGATGCTAATTTTTCGTTGCCTGCAGACTGTAACAAAGGAGATGGTTGTCTATTGTCATCTATTTTTTTGATGCTAGAAGTCTCATCTTCGTTGATTATTTCCTTGTCTTTATTAACGTCTTCCTCTATTGTATTTAATCTTGGAGAAAATTCTTCGGGTTCTAAAATAAATTTTGTGCGTACATATTTGTTTACTTTATAAATATAACAAATAAAAAATATTAACCTTGTTCCGAAACAACATTGCTTAATATCACTTCATTTTCTTGTTGTTTCTCAGTATCAGATAACTTATCTTCATCTTCACTATCCCATTTTGATCTTGGCAGTTGTACGTTAATTGGTACATGCCACTTAGTGTTTTCGCCGGATTTACATATGCCTGTCTTTGGATACCAATTACGTGTGTGTTGAGGCTTTTCCGTTTCTTCTATATCATTTCTAGAATTGTTAAGATCTGAATAGGTAAAAGAAAATTATCGTGACAAAAAATATTTTGGTATACCGTGTATAATCTCCCTCGCATATATTCCGCATCTTCTCACGATAATCGATGGTAATTGTTTGAAGAATTTGTTGATGGCTCATAAAAAGAGACATACGGGGATTTTCAGAATAAAATAATTGAGGCCTTCCTCGTTTAGTTACTTTTATCGATTCAGGAGGATACTCTTTAGGACCTTCAAGTCCTTCGGCAATAAAAGCATAACGTTTTAAACGACAATCGCTCATCATTAACATTTGCTCGAAGTGACGTAAGTAATCTTCGGCTGTTCTGTAATATATGTATATATTGAATATTTGTTTAATATATAAAAAAATATAAATAATACAAATAATATACTTTAAGAATTCAAATAAACCTGTTTTTTGATGTTCGTTCCGAATGATCGTATCTTCTAGTCTCGATGATATCATCTATTGTTATACCACACTTTTTTAACTCCACCCACGAGGAAGAATTCATTATGTCTTTCTCTTTTCCTTTATCTCTCTCTTTTTCTTTTCTCTCTTTGATTTCAGAAATTTTTTCTTGTGAATCATTTCTCTTTTCTTTAAAACTCTCCCTTTTTTCTTTTATTCCTTTCTTTTCTCGTACATCTTCCCATTTATCACTATTTTTTTTATCTCTTTCTTCATCTCTCTTATCTCGATTCTCTTCATACTTATTACTATCCTCTCGTTTATCTTTATCAATTTTTCTACCTTTATCTTTTCTACGTTGTTCTTTATTGCGTGAGACTTTATAGTATCGTTCTTTGCTACCGTTGTAATCTTCTTTTGACTCTCTATTCGTGTTATCCCTTCGTTCTTCCCTTCCATAACGTCTTCTTAAAATAATTTTTGGACATTATTTATACACATAAAAATGCAAGAATTAACTGTTTATCATATAAAAACGATAAATGTTCTTATACCTTCCTGAATATTTATTTTCTATTGTAGATTTTGAAGCACTTTTATAAGAAACATTAACATCATCTTGTCTATTTCTTTCTCTCACAATCTTTTCATTTTCTAATAAATTTTGTCCATTTCTATTTGCATAAGTTTCTTCTTCTAAGCTAGCTGTAAGATAACTTAATCAGTTTCAATGATTCAGTTCAGTTTAAAATATCATATTATTAAATACCTGCAGCCATAGCTTCAGCTAATAACATTTTACTTTTGGATTCTTCTCTTCTAATCTCTTCAATAGCCAATATCTTCTCCTCTGCACAACGGAAATGTTTCCATATTAAAAAAAAAAAAATTTTCACATAAGGAATAACTATAAATTGTATTTTGTCTATACATTACCTGTTTTCTTTTTTGATTTACCACCACTTGAATGACGATTATGATATTGTACAGAATCTGAGTTAACACTCACGACTGAATCATTTTTTGAAGACTTTCCATTATCACTTGATATACTTTTAGATTTAGAAATTTTGGTAGAATGTGCTTGAAGCAGATTGGACTTATTTTGAATTTTTGATGGCACATTAAATTTATTGGCAAATGCCATTAATCTTTTTTTAGCTTTTAATTTTCCTAAAACAGGCTTGAGTATTTTAGGACTCTCTAATCTAGATGTATCTCCATCACTAGTTTGGCCCTTTGTACTATCTGGTGTTTCTGGCATTTGTATATCAAGCAAAGACATTGGAATATCTGGTGTTGGTTCCTCTGGGGCATAAGCATCTTCTGACTGTGACATTGTGTTAATACTTTTCCTTTAGGGTTCTTCTATATACAAAATGACATCATAATAAGAGAATATAATCCAACCTAATTAATTTGTTGTAAATAAACAGAGAGGTATAAAAATTTACCTTCTTGAAAATTGATTACATTTATTTGTCATTGACAATGATAGATTTTATCATGCATACGATTATTCTTTAAATTAGTATTAGAAGCATCAATAAAAGTTTTACTTTTTATGCCTAATGTATATCAGATTCTAAAATAAAATAGAACATATATCATTTATACTTATGTAAAGAAAATTATAACTCTCTTATATAAAACAATTATAACTCTGTTATTTGTATATGTTCTTTTAAATGAAAAATATTATTAACACTTTTTTCTAATGCATAGATATATTACAAAAAAAGATACCAATTCATAAAATGTACCCACCGATAGGAAAAGAAATAGTCAAATAATCAAGAAGGACAAAAATTATTGTTTCTAATCGGTTTCTTTTGTAACATTTTATAATACACTTCATGAAAAAAGAATTCACTTATACAGTCAAATGTTTAAATACAAACATTCACATATACATACAGAAGAATTTCATTGACATAATATCATTTTGTACAATCTATCATAAATAATAATTTCAGTTTGATAATTTTCAGAATAGAAAACTAATTACGAAATCGATTCGACAGACAGATAAAACATTAAAACACTAATTGGTTCTAATCACCGAAAATGTTTTTATAGAGAAAATCTCAAATAAAGTGAAGGAGATTCAAGTGTCTAATTTTCTAACACATTTTAAAAGGTTATGGCGAATACATTTACTTTCCGCCGAAGTTTACAATACTATCACTATCCAATTAAACATATAAAAATTCGAAAAGAGAAAAGATTAATAGAATATTAAATATCAGTAAGTATAGTTACTTATTATTAGTTGTTATGAGAACTTACTTCATCTTGAGTGCTAAGTAACCAGCGGATACATGTTGTTGATGATAAAAACGATAAGATATTATTAACGTCGTATGCTTGATTATTTAATTCCACGAACGTTTTTAATTTTATTAATCTGTTCCTGTGTTCATCCAAATTAAACGGAGCTACAGTGAGAAAAGCGTCAGACATTTTAGTCAAACGACAGGCCGGCAACTATAAACGCTCGCTGATTCAGCGAAAACAAGGGATACCAACGTTTCAAAAATAAACGAGGAACAACGAACAACCACTAAATACAGTAGTACCACGTTAACTAGCCGGGATTTTCGATTTGTTAACTGATCACTTTTATCCCCGCTAATTCTTAGAATTCGCAGTCAAATGAACCTTTGATGTTCAGACTTCAAATTAAATGTAAAACTCTACCGCAGATATGAACTGCATGTATTCGAAATAAAATACTCGTTATAAGATTTAGATAATAAAATAAATCTCTGCTCAGAGTCTACTTTTTAAAATTATGTTTATAAAAACATGAATTTACAACATACACAATCTACTTTTACATCATATATAAGACAAATAAATATATTTATATGTTATTAACATTCAAAGGTAGAAAGAGATATGTACTCAGAATTTCTTAAAATACTTTCCTTGGTTACTGGATAAAGTCCGTGATCATTTAGCAAAGCATTACTGTTTATTTCATTCGGTCTGATGTTTGAAAAAGATTATAATTTTATAATTTCAGACTTATGCACAGATTTGTACCTACAAATAAGAACTTCACATTAATCAACGTTTGATTTTAAATACTGTATTTTTATGTTATACTTAATTTAACTGCGTCCATAATGAAATTATAAAGTTTCGACGAGAATATTTATATAAAAAGAGATCGTTTAAAATAATAAGTTCAACTGTAGAATATTTGCAAATTTAACTGTACTTTTTATGTCTTTTGATTTTATGCTTGCAATATGCAAAACATAATAATTATGTTTATTGCAATTTAACGTTGTTGCGTTACGTCCGATTTTTATTTAAACAACGAATATTTCACAATTAACTGTCATAAGAACTTTCTTGCTGCTCTTTACTTAAAAATTAATACATCAAAAATATCAAAGTTCCAATATGAATTCGTATGCATTGCATGATTATACGAATTAATCTTCCATTTCTGATGGATCACCACCCATTGCTTTCCAGAAAGCAGTGACTAATTGTTCAGCTGCTATTCGTCTTTGATTAGTCGGCAACATTGCTGCATGTTCTTTCATAGCTCTCAATTGACTAAATAATTCTCCAAAATCTGCATTTTCTTCACCCATAATTCCATCTGGAAAAAAATAATGTATATAAGCTGGAATAAAATCTCATAATGAATATTTTTTCAACTGACCCAACATATTCTCTACTGGTAATGTTTCTGTAGAATCTTGACTCAATTCAATGTTTTCAAACTGCTCTTCAACTTCATTCATATCAAGAGTTTGTTCTTCCACATTCGATGATTTTCCTATAATGTTACAACAAATTATAAATATTTACTTATGAAACAGTATTTTTGCCAATTTTGTCCAAGTAAATAATCCAGCTTTTTATTGAGAACCTTTAAGTATCATATTTGGCCACATATGAGCGTGTAAAGCTTCAATAATCCTCTCAATACCATATTTGTTATTTTCTGAATCAGCTTCTGAAGCATCTACATCAGGTCTATTTAATTCAATCAGCTCAAATTTATTTTGTAGACACCACTTTATCACTGAAATACATTAAGTACATGTTTAATTCTGTTCCATAATTTAATATGACAATTGTTATTTGTATGTACCTTTGTTCCTAATAATAGTATCTGTTATAAAATTACAAGAAAACAGTAGTACATCAGCTTCTGCCAAAGAAGCAATCAAAGATGACCATTTTTTTAAATTCTGATCTGCATTTTCCTAAGAAAATTAGTGTTAAAGATCATTTGCTCTCACAAAGGTTCTGTCTAGAAATTAAATATCTTACTGCCTGTGGATCATGATATACAATCAATGCTTCTATATCATCAACTGAAATATCTTGGGAAGGATTTTCTGTAACACATATTAACACTTGCGTTTTGTAATATTTGTTTTGAATATTCCATAAATAATATTCAAAATGGTCTTGGGTAGATAATTTTTCTCCACCAATATCTATAAAATAAAATAGTATATAAAAATAAGGTCATTGTAATGAACAATTCTCATTTAAATATTTATCTATTTATTTCAAAAAATTAATTTATTAGATTTTTAATATCGAAATTAGAAATATATTCCAGTTTGAACTTACTCGTAGCAATTTCATTAGCTTTTCCTTCTTCGGTGCTTATTATTAATATTCGTGGTAAATTCATTTTGTAGTAGAATTTTATGGAAATTAATGATAATCTGGAAATGTTTGACAATTTGGAGATATAATAAATTTAAAAGATAGTAGTTAATTGTTGACGTTTAGGTTAGAACTATGATCTTCGTATTAGTTGACATAAAAATAATATAATATTAAATAAATAAAATAAACCACTTTTATTCAGTATATAGCGATATATTTTTTTCAATGTATTTCTAATGAACTAATTGAAATATTTTAAACATTAATGTAAGTCCATGTCATATTTTATGATGGACGATCACAATGACGTTTGTTATTTCGTTTTCAAAAAAAAATTGGAATAATTTTGACTCATTTTATACATTTTAATATTTCAATGAATTTTAATAAAACGAAATATAATTATTTGATTTGATAAATTATATAAATTTAAAAAATCAATTAATATCGAAATGATTTATTTTATGATTTTAAATAAATCAATTATACGGGATAAATTTTCTTAGAATACTATTCTCAAATATCTGTAATCATTGATAATTCGTAAACTGAATGTAATTAATAATATGTGCAATTAATAAAACAAAAGTTGTATAAACGTATATTGATTATTAGATTTATAGTAATACATAAATCTTCAAATACATATATAATCATAGGGTGTAAGTGGCGCATAGTAATACATTTTGTCCCTAATTACTTATAGAATTCGTGTTCAGATTCATCTTTTTTAATATTATTCTTGTAACCTTTCTCGAAATCTTTTGCTAGGACTATATATCGATTTTCACGAACAGCATGCATTCCTGCTTCTTGGCAAATTGCGTTAATATCTGCACCAGAAATTCTATCCGGTCGTGCCACGTAGTCTTCAAGATCCACTTCTTCGCTTAAATTCATTTTCGCAGTAATTGTCGAAAAAATCAAACGTTTCTGACGGCGATCGGGTAAAGGAAATTCTATTTTTCGATCTAATCTGCCAGGACGTAATAATGCAGGATCTAATGTATCAGCCCTAAAAAGAAAATATGTCATTGTATTTATGCGAATTATTTCTTATAACAATAATAACAAAGATCAAAATCATACCTATTTGTAGCCATTATAACTTTAACGTTAGTAGTTTGATCAAAACCATCCATTTGATTAAGTAATTCCAAAAGAATACGTTGAACTTCGCGATCAGCACCAGTCTGAGCGTCGAACCTTTTTGTAGCTATAGCATCGATTTCGTCAACGAAAATTATGGCTGGCGAATTTTCTTTAGCTAAACGGAAGACATCTCTGACCATTCTTGGCCCTTCACCTAGATATTTCTGTACAAATTCTGACCCTACTACGCGAATAAATGCAGCTAAAAAATATTAAATGTACTAAGTTAGAAGAAGTTGAGTATACCGTTTACTCAGGTTTATATATTCTTATATATTCTTAAAATATATAATATTGAAAATGATTCATACCAGTAGTATGTCTAGCTACAGCTTTTGCAAGCATAGTTTTACCACAACCAGGAGGACCATACATTAACACACCTCTCGGTGGGTCAATTCCAATTTGTTTATATAATTCAAAATGAGTTAAAGGTAGTTCTACTGCTTCTCTAATTTCTTGCTTTTGCATGTCCATACCTCCAATGTCGCTATATTGAATATCAGGTCTTTCATCTGTAGGATAAAATATATGTGAAATAATAATTTTTTTTTAATCTTCTAGATTGACAATAATAATAAATAAGCACCTGCTTGTAACATTGAAATACTTGAATCAGCTTCTGGTGGTAGTACATCTACTAAAGCATTACTATGTTTATGAAGAGCTACACTAGCAGAAGGCTTTAACAGTTCTCTGTCAATTGTAGATAAGATACGGACATAATAATTAGAGCCAGTAGTTGAACCTACAATACCAGTATTTTGATCTACAGCTTCTAAAAATTGCCCAATAACCAAAGGCACACTTTGTATGCGCTTTACTTCTTCTTGAGCATGTAAATATTCTTTTTTCAAATTACGTTGCTCATCTTTAATGTATTCTTCTTGAACTTCAAGAAATTCTAACATTCTTTGTAGTTTCTACAAGTACAAAATTCTTATATAGGGAGAATGTAAAAAAAACATAAAATTTTTTTACCTTATACTTTGTATAAAGATCTTCAACATCCAATTCATCGCCAGCACCAGTATAATGTCCAATTACAGGTTTACAATCTATTTCTCCAATATCCTAAAATTTAATTAAAAAATTTAATTAAAAAATATTAATTAAAAAATTTAGTCATGTTATGATAGAACTGTTAAGAATTTTTGTATATAAGCAGTAATATATAAAAATGAAACAGAATAAAAATTGAGGTTATAGTGAATAATTTTTAATTCAATCATGACTTTTGAAATTATTTTTGAAATTCTGAAAGAAAATATGAACAAAAATATATATACCTTATCAGGTAGGATAATACCCATTTCATCCATTATTTTAAATAAAGCTTCTTTGATTAAGTCCAACCAAACATACGAATCAACGAATGACTTGAGATTCTTGAACAGTTCACTTCAGTGATTACACATACATAGTCAGAAGTGACTACCATTAAGTATTGAATCGACTAAAGAAAGAAACTCAACAAAAAAGATACTACTTCAAGATACAGAACTTTATTTCTACATATAGATAATTAAACATTCGTTAAAAATTTTATTTCAAAATGTATATATTAATTTACTTTTAATAGATATATATACATATATATAGACATTTGTTAATTGCGACGTTTAAAAATTAAAGTTTTAGTGATCCCTAAAATAACGAATAAATTCCCTATAGATTTGTGATTTTTATATTTTTGAAATATTCCTATATATTTCTTTAGATAATCTAACTGTTACTTTTTTATGATTTCAGACTATATGTTTATAAGATTCCTCGTCCGGGAAACCTTCACAGTTTATATTGTATGGGTAAGAAATTTTATCCTTATGAAGTGTATATATATTGTTACAGTAATTATTCTATCTTCAACAAATATACCGAAATTTGGTTAAGGTTCAGATTTATATACCTATTTAAAATGAATTTACAGATACTTAGTGACAGAAAAGAAACAGAAGATACGTAGTTCTCCAACATTAATTAATATAAATCTTGAAATAACAATGGTGATGGAAGAACAACAGTCGGATATGGAGCTAGATTCGGAAAGAGTTCCTGTACCACAAGTGCAAAAAGTAGAGGATTCACATATGGAAACAGTTAATAAAACAAGCATTTCTAGAGGAAAACCCAGACTTAGAAAAAAGGCATTACATGCTACTATACTCAAACAAATGGAATTTTACTTTGGTGATGCGAATCTAAGTAAAGATAGATTTTTAAGCAATTTAATTAAAGAAGATCCATGTAAGAATTATTAAAATTACTATAACATTAACTGTCATTTGATATTTTAAATACCTATCTTTAAATATTTCAGATGTAGATCTCAATGTTTTTCTAAGATTTAATAAAATAAAAGAATTGACTACAGATATAAACAGGATAGCTAAAGCTGTGCAAGTATCTACAATGTTATCTTTATCTGAAGATGGAATGAAAATTCGACGTGTAACACCAATAATGATAAAAGAAAACACTGATGAATGTACAGTTTACGTACAAAATCTACCTCCAGATGCAGACCATGAAACATTAAGATCAGTATTTTCTCAATATGGACAAGTTGTATATGTTTCTATTCCGCGATTTAAAATTAATAGAAAGATAAAGGGATTTGCATTTGTAGAGTTTGATACAGTTGAGAGTGCTAAGAAATGTTTGAAGGTAAGAAATGTTCGAACATACATAACAATAAAAAATTTTTAATTATTTTATACTATTGAATTAATATGTTCTAGGCATTTGAAAAAAAAGGTTGTGTTTTACCATCATACACAGCTCCTAATAAACTACTAAGCATTACCACATTTGATGATACAGAAAAGATCATGTTGTCAGAAAATGAAACAAATGAAATCATTGTTTGTACTGAAAATACTGTTGATAATGAAAAATTAGGAGACACTGAAATGAATACAAGTAATGAAGAGCAAGTACATACAAATATTAGTACTACTTCAGAAAATCATGAAAATAATAATAAAAAGAAAGCAAAGAAGAGAAAACACCTAGATACAGAAACTACAGAACTAACTGAAACAAAAGAAAAATCGATTAATGAATTGATAAAAAGTAAAAAGAAAAAAGCAAAAAGTTCAAATGATGTACACAGTGAGGCAGTAGAATCAAGTAATGAGAAACAAAGTGATGCTTCTTTTGAAGGTACATCAAAAAAATTAAAGTATGAAAAAAATGTATCTATGAAAAATGAACAAGTATCAGATAATTATGATAAAAATGAACAAATGAAAACTGATGATATTACTCTAACTAATGAAGAACAAGAAAATACAAGTGAAAAGAAAAAGAAAAGAAAGAAACGCAAAAAGCGAAGTAAACTGGAAGATTTTAGTTATAGCGTAGGATTACAGGTGATGGCCAAGAAAGATTGGAAACATCTTAGGAATAAATACTTAGAATTACAGAGGAGTAAGATGAAACAACTCAAACAACATTTGAGAAAAACAAGATGGAACCAATGGTCAAATTATGAAAAAAATAAATCTGAAAGGGAAGAAAATGATGAAAAAGATAAAATGAGTGCCATGACTGGATGCCGTTTTTCGTTTACACCAGGCGTTATAGTTAAAATTGAAATGAATAAGCCATGTACAGATTCAAAAGCTTTAAAGGTACATACTACGATTATAAAAATATAAAAAAAAATTATATTAATAATTAGTATATATTTTAAATCTTTTTAGATGGAATTAAAAAATAATAATTCTATAAAGTACACGGATGTTGAAGATGGTTCTTGTGTTGCTTATGTAAGGTGTGATACAGCTGAAGCTGCACAGATATTTGTACAAAAATCTGATGAGGAAAGACATATGAGATTATTAGAAGGTAAGGTTGGTTATTATGAATACTTTAATATATAGGTAATAATTTTATATATTTGTATTACTATACAGGTGAAGAAGAAAAGATGTATTGGGATAAAATCTTGCACGATAGGGAACAAAAATTGAGTAAAAAAGTAAAAACTAAACAAAGAGGGAGAAATAAATTATTGAAAAAAGCAGAAAAAGAACTTGGGAAGCATATCAAATTTGATGAAGTGTAAAAGTGAAGTGAAGTTTACACTTCATCAAATTTATTTATTTATAATATAAATTAAATATAAAAAATATTAATATTTATTTAGTAGTGCTGTCCTTTAAAACCACCACCTCCTTTTCCAAAACCACCACTTCGTCCAAATGATGGTCTACCGCCACCTCGACCACCAGGTCTTTTCATTCCTCTGCCACCTCTGCCACCTCTACCGCCACCTCGACCATCAGGTCTTTTCATTCCTCTGCCACCTCTACCGCTACCTCCTTTCCTTTGTACTGATCCAGGAGGTTTAGGCAAAAATCTTTGTAAAGGTAACAATTTATTTGGATCTATAAATAACTGTAATAAAACATAAAAGTAATAATGGAATCTGTAAGTAATTATACTATATATATTAAAAAAAAAAAAAAATACCTGTGTGTCTTTTTGAAAACTGGATGCTTTTATATTTTCTGATACTTTTATAGACACATAATAGTCTCTAATATTACCAAAAATTTCATCTATTTTCCCAATTTGTTGTTTATTTTCTGTATATATTGGAGCATTAAAAAAGGGTACTTGTTCTATGTCAACTTTAGCAACTAAGTCATCTTGAACTGTCCATGTAAAATGTCCTAATGGAGTCACATGATCTGGTGGACCCTGATCAAATCTATGATATATGAATTATTATTATTTTGTATTTAGAGAGAAATTATCAAATATAGTAATTACCCTTTTCCACCTCTATCACCACCACGTCCTCCTCTAAATCCTCCTCCACCTTTTCCACCACGAAATCCGCCACCACCTCCTCTACCAAATCCACCACGTCTTTGGAATGACATTTTTTTTTTATTTTATAAATTCTGAAAAAAATTTATTTTATGAATTTCAAAATACAAATTTCATAAGGTTAGGTATGAATACAAAGCAAAACCACGTGTCTAACCTGTACAAATGCCAGTTAATAAATTGATAATCTCTTGATAATCTCTATTTCTATGCAATTATAAAACAATTTTCATAATTCAAATTACTAATTATATAATATGTCAGGCCTAATTTTATTTTTGTATATAAATGTTATTACAATCAGTTACCACAAAATAGCAGCACTTTCTTCCGCGAGTTAAATACTATACTACATATACCATTGTAACTGCGCATGCGCAGTATGAGATACGAGCATGTAGCAATCGAATGAAATGATTTAAAAGTTTAAATTTTAAAATATTAATTATGAATATAATATTGCGAAATCTCTATATGGGATTAATCATAATTTTTTAAAATAAAATTAACGTAATTTTCATTATATTTTATATTTTTAAACTGAAGTTTAAAATCAATTTATATCAATATACTTAACCTTTATCAATACTTTTTTTTAGAGCGTACTACTCTTTTATTTAAAGAACTATTAATAAATAACATATATTCATATTGGTTTAGTTTGTTTGTATCATAACTTGTAATTTATTAAACTGACACTAATGACAATGTTTATCAGATAACCTGAAAACTAAGAACAATTACGATAACATTTTACGAAAACATTAATGAATAACATTTTAATATTGAATATATTAAACTTTTTATTAATATTTGTGATTTGTTATAGCTGTAATTCAATAACCAGTCGAACTACCATACTATCTTCCATCTTTGTCAGACTATTGAATGCATCGCACCAATATAAAAATCATTTAATAATATCACTGAAATAATATCAATGTGATGATGATTATCATTTAATAATTAGCAAATGTACCACCATTAATATTGAAAACTTTTATCATCTAATATTCTAACCTCTTTGCAATGTAACTAGCAGTAAAAATTGTACATCGTTCTCAAATGGCGTAATTACACGTAGCATAAATTTGAATATTGTTTAGATAAGACAGAAATAGTTATTCTGGATTATCGGAATTATATCTCGCTGGCAAAGTAGTTAACAACGATACGTAAAGTAACTAGACGACAAAATGTCTTCATGTAATTTAGCGGCTATGGTGTGTTTTAGTGTTTCTTGCTGACAGAAGGGTGCGTATGTCATTCGGTGTAAGCAGGTGCACGTGAGGAGACCGTCTGCTAGACGGATCAGTGGCTAGGTATACGGGTTTCCTCGTGACCGTTCCCCGGGTAGTTTTGAAAAATCTTTATTTTAACATTAAAATCATATTTAGTTCCGTGTGATTATGTTCCATAGACCAAACGACTACCGGACCTTATAATGTTTACTGTATTTCGCATGTTACTCATGCTGATCCATTTTTCATGTGACTTATTTGCCGCGTTTTATAATTACTGTATGATCCTTCATCGTAAGTGCATCGAAATTTGGTACAATGAGAATTTAAGGACAGAGACTGACATGTTAACGCGTGCTGCGAAGAGAATGAAAAATCTACCAAGGCACGTAGTGATCATTTTCGGCGCGAAGGAGGACACTATCTATGACTGCGTGCGAATTATCGGATGGTGTATTACCTTTGGTATACCTTACATCAGTTTCTTTGACATCAGTGGTAACGTTCATTTTTGTTTATTGCTTTATAATGTCATTGTTCCTATTATAATGTCATTATCTTTTCACTTTTTTTCAACTATTCAAATGTATTTTTTATGACAATCATTCGATTCGAATTTTGAAAGATAAACATTTTGCTAGTCATTTTAGATTTGTTATTTGCATATCAAATTACGGAGAAATTTATATACAAAAAAAGATACTTCTTTTTGTTAAAAGAATGTAGAAATAATGATCCTAACAACAAAAGGTTTGGAGCATTTCATAACTTACATTTTATCTTAAATCTAACTGTTATTTAAACTAATAGTTAATATTATTATTTGGAAAATTTTATAAATTTTATAAATTTTGTGTAACCATATCTTTGTGTCATTAATATTTCTCTCCATATATATTTATTTCATGAATTTTATTCTAACCTCAAAACATTACTTGGAATTAACTTAATATTGAAGTACTCTTTTTAAAATGAATTTTTTTGTTTTTGTATGATTTTGTATTAATTTTTTGTTTGAAAATATATTGTTAATAAAACATATATTGTAAATTGTTTTGTAATAATGATGTAACATTCTGATAAACTTTATCATATAACTTAAATAATTCATTTAAATAATTTTGTACAAACATTATGTTTTTATAAAAAAAATATTTATATGAAAATCTCAGATTTTTGCAATTTAATATTTACTATATTTACACAAATATATATTAGGAAGTGAAATAATTTGATAATTATAATGCATTAAATATATTTGGTTTTCTAAAATTTTGAGTACAAATTGTAAGGTAAAAATATAAATATATATAAGTACTTTAAAAAAAAAAATTTTCGCGTTATAAAGTTTAATTAATCTTATCTAACATCAAGGACAAATGAAACGTGAGTGCGATGTTACCGTGATATACTCGATCTCAATATTTACTATTTAAGAAATACGATAATTTGGCTATTGATTTGTTACTAAATCGATGAAAAAGTTTGTTAAATGTTTTAAAATTGTCAAATTTACATAATTTATATATGCTGTTTGTAACTATTCTACTAAATTATAAATTATATTTATTATAATTTTTATAATTACAGGTTTTTTAGTCCAAAATGAAAATTTATTAAAATACGAACTCGCAAAAAGACGTCCTGATTTAGTGGAGCATATCAGTTGGAGTAAACCAAATGCAGGGTTCACACAAAATGGAATAACCCGTATGTTTTCTGTATAAATAGTGTTTTGTAGTTCATGATACATCATTCAATTTTATAATGTTGGTAACCATGTTGATATATTGCTTTTAAATTTCTAGATTCCAAACCGAAAACACGGATATCTTTGTTGTGTCCATTAGATGGAAAACAGGAAATAGTATCATTAACAAAAACATTAGCTGAAGCTGTTGTCACTGGAACAATTAAGCCAGAAGAAATAGATATTGATTTACTTAATGAAAAATTAAATTCACGGGGAATTCCAGACCCTGATATGGGAGTAATTTATGGCCGCTTTTGTTCCACGTATGGTGTTTTGCCATGGCAAACACGAATAACAGAATTCTAGTAAGTTTCTCGATTGTCATAGTTTCCATATTTTTTAACATTTTTACATTAAATAATGTATTATATTTTGCATTAAATAATGTATTATATATTATATTTTTTGTTTTAGCACGTTACCTTTACATAATACTTTATCTGCAAAGGATTTCACGTATCTGTTGGAAAAGTACAGTAAATGCGAGCAACGATACGGCAAATAACTGGAATTGTTGTTGTTCATTTGTATAATGCTTTTATATCCAAAACTAAGAAGAAGAAAATATGAAACAAGAAATAGCTCTTAAGGAGATTTTTTACAAAGACTGAACATAAAATAATTTACAGATACTATTTTATAAGTGGTTGCGTGGTAAATAAACTTATAATGACCACATGTGTGACATAAGTGTCGTTCCGTGAGCCGATTTTAACGTGTACCAATAAGGAGGAATTTAGGTAGCTTAACTTGAAGAGATTCTCATGAATGTGAAGACAAGATTCCACAGAATGTTGCAAAAATGAAAGATTTTAATTGTATTTTTAATTATGCGAAATACAATAATTGTCCTGCCATAAGATAATACTATAAAAAAAAGAAGAAAAAAATTAAGGTGGTGATATTTTCATTTTTTCTTAATTAAAGATTTTCATTAATTAAAAATTTTGTTTTTAATATACTAGAAATAATATAATAATGCTATTTAAGGAATAATTTTGAAGGATTCAAAACACAACACAAAAAGGAGTGATAGATAGCTTATTAAATGATTATATTAAGTGATAAGGATAAAATTTTAAAAAAGGAAATACATTGGTTTGAACCGAAGTACAAATAAATTAAGGTTGCTAAAATAAAATTTTAGTGCACCATTTAAAGTTTAATTAATACATTCTTTTTTAATTATTCTTCTTTAATTCCTTTCTCAACTTTATATTTTCTACAGAATAAAAATTAGGAGCATTCGCAAACAAAACTAAATTCTTGGCAAATATTGCATTTCATTTAGAAACACAGTAACATTCCATGTATATAACCATGTACAATCATTTATTCTTAAAATGATCGTACACAGATATTTTGATATTAAAGTGAAAATGAAATTTTTACTTTGGTCTGTGGTATATTTCTCGTGAAAAATCGCCTATTGTGGAATCAAATTCCTAAAATACAAAATATAGTTCGTTTTTGCACAAACATATGTTGCTTACTTGACAATCCTTTCTATTCCTTGATGCTTTTAGAAACTAATTGAATTATAAAGAATAATATTAAATATTAGAGCCAGAAATGATATTTAATTTTTTATTAAATATTTCACTTTTTTTTAAAGTCAGAGAGTTTAATTCCTTGGAACTTAAGAAATCGAAATGATTAATTGAATAATGAGGATTAAAATCATTCTTTCAGCTGATTTTTATGATTTATCATCGATGTCATCCACAAATATGAGATTTTCAGTAGACCTCATTCGTGGCCCCTTCTTGTTAGTTTGTAGACTTAACATCGGATTATATACTTTCAGAGTCAGTCCTGCTTTTTCGTACGTATAGCAAGCACAATGGTTGTAGGTGAGCGAGGAAACAAACATTTTTCAAGATAAGGCGCGCTATATTGTACTTAGATACGTTGCACACCTACAGAGGAGAGGGAAGGAATAAAAAGGACAATAAGAAAGAACGACGAGAATAAGAATCGGTTAACTTTTCTGGAGACACAACCACGTCGCTGAGAATTACGTTTGAATACTTTAAAGTTCAACCTCAAGTCGAGGTTGACAATAGTTGCGCATTACTGGAAGTCGTCGCGTCGTTGTACTTATGCCTCTAGAAAGTCTAGCCAGAAGTTATGTCAATGATACGTAAAGTTGATACGCAAATTTCATCCAATGCCAACAATGACATAATTTGTAAGAGTTTAATTTATTTTCGAAATATTTTTCTCCTGTGCCTCCTTTCCATTTCTACAGCTATTTATTTATATGTTACATTAGATTTATTTTATCCGAAGATAATAGAGGAATCAATTTTGCGAAAATAATGCTCAATTTTAAAATATGTGATTTTAAAATGATTTTTTTTCCTTTTCTAAAATATGCATCCACTCTTTTTCTAGAGAAAAGATTTTTTAACTTTTCAAAATTTCTATTACTGTAGATTTATTATTTTACAGCATATGTAAGAAAACAGATTTATGGTTAATTGAAATTAAATGCGTCCTTGTCATGTTTTCCATCTCCAGAACTAATGGAAGGCGGCTAAAAACATTTAGAGACACGTACATATATCGAACGCGGAGGAAATATTTGCACCTGTGTCACGATTGTTGTACGATGGGAAACAAGTGACCCAGATTTGCCTTCAGAAAACAAGTGTCTCTACCTGTTACACTTCATCTTCGATTCATAAAAGACTCCGTTTCATTTGGTAAAAAAATATAATATATACATGAGATACGTACTATTTCTTGGTTTACGTTCTTTTTCATCTTTTTCTTCCATTTGAGAGTCATATTAATTATTGTAGTAAAAAGAATTACGAATGCTCTTCCAACAAGAAGATCGAAAAATTGTTTTAAAAAAGGATAAAGAGAAAGAAGTGCTTCTTCGCAAACAGAAACTTTAGAAAAAAAAGAACTTGATGAAATTAGTTATTTAGAATTTTACTAATTTTAACTTTTTTGATTTTTACCGATGAAAACAATTCTTAAAGTTAATTGTAAGTAAAACCGAAGTATATTTAAAAAAAAAGAATTTAAGGTGTTACATTAAGATATTATAGAAGTAGTGATAATCGATAAAAAGCGTGGTACGAATGAAAAACAAATACGAAACAAATGATGAAAAGCAAATAAACTTGTGAGAGAACGAGAGAGAGAGAGAGAGAGAGAGAGAGA